TACACCTTGCTTGTTTACGTGGTGCTATTGATTCTGTTAAGTTATTATGTTTGAATAAAACAAACATGGATTGGCGAAATAAAAACAATATGTCACCATTACACAATTCTATCTTAAGCACCAATGAAGAGTTGATTAAGTTTCTATTGAATAAATATAAATTTAGCATTGATACTGATTTGTTTAGTGTGGCTTTACGTTCTGGAAATATACACATCATTAAGCTTATAATTGATAGAACTAATGAAACTATACTGAAAGATGAAGTATTTTGGTTCAAGATTATTGGTTTTTCTGGATCTCTAGAAATTGTTAAATTATTTGCTAACCGTGTTCCACCACCAATTTCAGTTATATCAAATCTAGTAGGATATGCCACACAATTGGGTTATTGTGACATTGCCCGATTCTTGTTAGAATACGTTAGGACATGGGATGATCTTCTTGATGGAGAAGGAAATACAGCATTATACTATGCAATATATAAAAATGATATAGAACTAGTTCGTTTATTGATAGAAAAAGGTTCAAATGTGAATCACATAAATGATGCTGGTATTACTCTATTACAATTTGCATCAAAAAATGGTAATACAGAAATTGTAAAGTTGTTACTGAAGAATTTGACTACATGTTACACTTTAAATAACAAGATTATCTTATAAAATATTACTATTTCCTTCACATATTAGAACATATTGATTATTTGGACACAAAAAAGTAATATTTTATTTTAAAATTATATACCTTAAGTTATTTTATATTTAAACTATTTTTAGACTAGAAACAAACAATTTTATTAGTAAGTAAATCATTTTTATGAGATATTTTTCAAAGAACAGAAAATAATACTATTTATTTGTAACTAACTAAAGTTTACGTAATTAAATTGTCGAGTTTATTATTATATATATATATATTTTTTTTTTACAGTTGATTGCTCATCATAGAGTATTATTTCAATATTAATTATTTTTATGAATATAATTTTTTAATACTCAAATAATTGAAATTGTAATAAAATTATTTTTTAACTAAAAATGTATCATAATTATAGTAACTTATTAAAGTATCAATTATTTTTAACTCAGAACACTGGTACATAAATAAATTGTTTTAATAATTTTTTTTTTGTTCACGAAAATGTTGACTTACTGATTTATTTAATATGTTTTCTTTGTTTTATATTTACCTCAAAAATTATTTTTCCCAATAACAAAATATTTCGATTAAATTGTAAGCTTGTATAAAATACATTTTCATTTAAAGCTTTATTTTATTAGTATAATGTTTTTATGCTATGTGCTTAAATGGATTAAAATAAAAGAAATATTCATTTGTAAACAGTATACTTTGCATTTATTTATTATTAGTTCATTTCTAGTGTAAATATTTTTAATTTTAATCTTTATTTTTTTTCGTCTATTATTATTTTTTCAGCTGGAAGAACTGAATAATACAGTTCTACACCTAACCCATTAGAAAGTTTTAAATCCAAAAGCATTGATACTTTTATGGTTGATGTACTGAAAAATTACTATTAAATCAGTATAGTAAATTCCAACAAATATGATTAATTTAAAAAAGTATTGTTTATACACAGGTAGTATATTACTAGCTGTTGTTAACTTCTATTTTCTAAGGCAATACAAATGTTCTGAAGACCGTTGTGAATATTGTGATGACATAAAATAGTCTAGAATTATCAATGTTTAATTCATCAAATTTAAAATGTATGATTTTTGATTTTTCCCGCTATATTTTTAGTTAGGTTTAGTCAAAGCTGGGCAAGTTAATTGGTTAAAATTAAGTTTTCCTAAAAAAAAAAAAAAATAACTCCTAAGATAAAGTTAATTTAAAAAATAGAAATCAATTTGAGCAACCAAATTAAGTTACAGATTTTCATGAAAATAATAACCTAAGTTCCTCTTTTTATACTTATAATATTATATTTTTTTCTTATCATAGCTACTATCTATTTTGTGTATCGACTATGACAGCGCAACAATTACAATGGTGGTAACAAGGAAATTTAATTAAAATATATTATATAATAAAGCCAATATAAAATAAATTAAAATTTTAATAGCAATAGTGGATTTTGTACAGAGTATGGAGTAGAGATTAAACGAAATATTGAAAGTTTTAAGTGAGTTAATTACAATTAGGCGTTTGTTAAGTTTGTTAATAGTTAAATAAAATATGGGAAAGATCACGTCATACATACAACTTCTTTTAAATGGAGTATACATAATGGAGAATCATTTAGGCCAAGTTTGAATGAGTGGCTAGGAAGTATATCATGACCCATGTGTAACTGATTTAATTTTACTATATTATGTGGTCTATCTGAATATAAATTATTGAACTAGGTTTTATATTTGTAATATTTCTAAACTTTCAGGCAAACCTGCAGGTAGGTGGAACTAGTGAGAAGACCACAAGTTGGAGGTGTATTTTTTTAACAGAGGGGTGAAATCAGACTGTGGTAACTGTCAACTGAGTAAAATAAGGGAGGATAAGGTTAGATGTGGATTTGGCCAGGTTATTTGCAACTTCGTTATTGTGTGTCTGAAGAATTTGTGTATCCCACCCAATATGTATGGCAATCTGGGCAGCCTAAGAAAGTTTAATTTAATTCAATTGATTTAAGGTGAAAATAAGTGATTTAATGCAAAGAACAAGTGGATATAAATAAGAGCAGTTAAATGGGTTGAAAGTTAATGTTTTAAGGCATGACATGGAATCTGAAGCAATTAAATAATTGTTGCTTTTCCTTAATTTTTTGTTTGTTTTTCCTGCCACTTTTTAAAACTATTGAGAATTTTTGACTTTTATCCCCTAAAGTACCGACTAGCTTTAATTTCTTACGAAAACTGTAAAGGCTGTCTGCATTAAAGAATGTAATGGGAGTAACTGTTGTCCTACTACACCGAAAACAGCTGGGAGCGGCGATTTATTCCTTATCCTGTAGCCCTGTAGGTAAATAAATACATACCAACATACCTACTCTTATTTGTTGTTCATATAAACAATAATCAGTGTTAGGTGCTAGGTGGTAAAGTAATGAAAGCAGTGGTTCAGTAACGGGGAAGGTTTTGAGGATACCCTCCCCCTAAATTTGTAGAATGAATTTTTTACTGTCAGAAAACTAAAATTTAGGGTGACATGTCATTTAAAACTAAATACAAATTAGTAGTTCATTAAAATTTAAGATATTATGTTTTGTTATTTTCAGCTGTCGGGTCAGCATCCAATATGAAAAAAAAATTAAAAATTAAACCCTCCCCCCTCCCCGAAATTCAGGCCTAAGTATGCCATCAAACGAAAATAAATTTCGTAATTTCATTGGAATTATTTTCAAGTACCAAAAATTTATATATATTTAAAATTTTAACACTACACAATTCAATTTTCAATGATTTTGATATGTCTACTCAGTGACGCTTAACCTATACATTAGGGGTGGTGGTTACCACCCCTTTTGGGTGGGTGGTGGGTCCTGTTATGCATATGGGTAAATATTTAACAAAAACAATTTGACAAAAATTTGAAATAATTGTACAAATACTAAAATATTTTACATGAGTACATGACTGCAGCTGTCTAATGATAATGTTGAGATAATGAGATATATATCCGCATAGGTTTAATGGTTCTGGATGGGACTTGGTAATGTTTTACTAATTGGCCACCCCATTTTAAATTTAGCTTGGTGCCACTGTGTATACTTACACCATAAATTACAACTCACAAGTAAATGTAATTCTATTTTTCTAAATATAATAATGGGAATAAACTATAAATGTTTCTTATGGATATAAAGCATTGACTGTTCGGTTTTAAATTTTTATATTTCAATTACCCATTAATTTATATTATAAACTATACGGAAACATACGAATAATATACAATTGGGAAAAACTGTTATTTATTTTATTATTTCGAATTTGGTGTCTGTTCATCAGTAACAGCTGTAAACCATAGGCGCAACTAGACCTCTAAAACGTGGGGTGCTATATTATTAAAAACATAAAATTGATGTTATTTCATTATAATTATAATAGTTAGATCTAAAATATCAAGGGGTGCTAAATTAGAACTTGGGGGTGCTAAAGACCCTTTTGCACCCCTCTAGTTGCCCCAATGCTGTATACCCGAATCGTGTTCGTGTTTAACGTGCTAAATACTTTTATGAATCATTTTTTTCTTTAATAGTAATTTCATAAGAATTTTATTATATTTTAATTAATATTTTATTTCTAACTTAGAAATCCTAAGTACCTAATGAAGTAATGAGTAAAGTTATAGTAACTTAATTACTTTTAAAAAGTAATTTACTCAACATTTTGAATAATATATGTGTATATTTATAAAATATAAGTGTTATTGTATAACGTACCTATTAGGAACTATTTTTAAATATATATGAGATATTATGGCAGTCCATCATTTTATCGTTATCCATTGCTCGGGCACTTAAAAGCTTAAAAGCCCTGTTGCTTAAATTATAATAATTGCAAATTGCGTTTAAGCGTTGTGAGCAGTAAGTAGCTGCAGATTATAAATCTTTTTTATGGCCCCCACATGTGTTTTATAAAATCCTGGGGTAAGTGCACCCTGCACAGCATAATAATATGAATGAATGCTATACCTATCATTTTAAAACTCATCACTCATTATAAGCACAGAACAATAGAAGGCCAGTTTGCGGTACACCGATTGAGTCATTGAGAACCACTATTTTCGGTAATAATCAAGCATTCATCATGTTATTACTCAAGTGAAGAATAAATCTAGGACTGTACTTTCAGTTTTCTTTTTCTGTTTTTCACTAATAAGCACGATTAACTGATTCGTGATTACTGATTAGAATTAAATATTAAAATAATATCTTTATGACATGTTACATAATACACTCAATGAAAAGTAAATGTTTATTATACATATGGATGTACTGTTTGTTGCATACGTGTTATCATTGTAAATAACTGACTAATGTCATGTCACTGTTATTTTTGTCATGATTTTTATAAAAATTCCATAGAAAATTAAGCAATGAATCACGATTGACTAATCAACAATCTAGTAATGACAAAACCTTAGAATTTACGAATCCGAAAAATTATTGTCTTGTTCACTACTATTAACACTATTATTAACATTATTACAAAATATAATAAAATCAAACAAGTAACATAATGAGTAAAACGGTAAGAATTATATCTTCAATAATATTAAAAACTAATAATATTTATAATATATTGTATTTGTACATCAATATTTAATGTACAAATATATTATTTAATCTATTCACTGTATTAATTTAATTTTAATTCATTTACCAACAGGCGTTTTATTCGGATGAACATCTGTCTGGTAAGTACACTGTATATTATTGAATTATGAATGTAGTACAGCTAAGGAATTGACTACAATCTCATTACCTTATTTGGTTCTAATGTGAAACCTGTCCTCATAGCTAATAGAAATTTGTGTGACAAGGTTAAAAAAGAGTGAGTGTTTTTACTTAGTACATCAGATATCTTAGTATAATACTCTAGTATATTGTCAAGTGCAACTTTAAAATAATATAACTTTTTCTAAAATGTATTCTTATAATTATGATACCGTAAAAGTGATAACTTCAATGGATGGTAATAGTTATAAATCATTATACTGTCCAAATTATACTAATATGAATGGATTTTATTTTCAGAAATGCAGGAAGCATTTCAATTATTTGATATTCGAGGGGATAACAAAATACATATTTCACAAATTGGCAATGCTCTAAGAGCATTAGGTCAAAACCCAACAGAATCTGATGTTAATAAATTTACTCAACAACACAAAGCAGGTAAAAATTATTTTTATAATGTACAGCTACAGTTTTCAAAATAACATTTTTTTATGTTTTACCCGTTTATATAAATTGAAATATGACAATTTAAGGATTTTAAATGACACATTTTTATTGATAGCTTTCAATAGGTATGTTTTAATTTGGGAGACCACCTATTAACTCACCCTCCTTTAAGGTTCTGAATGGCTGATTCTGTTGATTCTTGGTCAATGCATTTTTTAATTTATTCCCAAAAAATCTAAATCAAGAAATGGTTAACAAAAGTTGTTTTTGCATTTTAAAATCAAGAATCTATATATCAATCAAGTTAGGTCAAACTGTTTACAGATTCTACATTTTAATTGGCATAATAGAAGAGAATCGACTCAATTTCAATTTTAATTCTTAAAAAAAAACTAAGGCATATTCATAGGCAGGTCTAATTGAGACTTATATAATAGTAACAAGGAGCATATTTTTTAATTGAACTACCTACTTAAATAATTTTAAAAAAGATGCTGCATCTACATGTGTTACAGCATAGCAAAATAGTGTTCATTTATTTATTTATATTTGATTTATGCTGTAAATCTTTATATTGGAGTAAAACGTCCTATAACCTATCAAACTTAAAAATAAGAACTTTTTTATAGATATTTTGTTTTTATAATTTTCATCATTTCATTTTAAAGTTAATATATATATATATATATAAAAACAAATGTTTTTACCTCTAAGTTTGATTTATGTGGACATTTAATTAAATTGAATTGTTATTTTATTATTACGATCATATTAAAAAGATATTTTTTCTCATAAATATTTACTTGTTTTGAAAACATTCTGGTAAAGATTGCTTGATAATAAAATAATGAATTATCTATATGTATGATACTTAATTTACATACAATTTACAATTAATATACAACTAAACTAGGTCATTCTGCATTTCTGCTTTACATCCACCCATCAAGACCAGTCGGTTCTACTATGGCAGGGTGTTGCATAGTGATGTATTAAATTAGCATGTTCTCTTGTCAAAAGAGTATAGTTCAGTTTAATACATTTCCATATATTTTAGGCTKTTTTTAACATTTGAAGGGTGATGCAATACAAATATTTTATTTCATTCTAGATGAAAGAATAACATTTGAAGTATTTCTACCAATTTATCAAGCAATTTCAAAAAATCGATCATCCAATACTGCTGAAGATTTCAATGAAGGATTACGCCATTTTGACAAAGATGGTAATGGATATATATCATCTGCAGAACTTCGTCATCTCCTTACGAGTCTAGGTATTTTATTTTTTGGATTATAACCTAACATTGTTTGTAAATACAGGGAGTCCCGTGAGGATTTACCCCTTGCGATATCTCCCAAAATAATTGTGATATCGAAATTCTGCTTTTATAATAAGACCCACAGGGATAAGAACTACAATTATTGCATATTTTAATCTATTTTAATGTTTTGGTAAAAAAGTTATAAAATATATTTTTTTATTTAATTATTTCCAAAAAAATTGACCATACCAATTTTGTAGTTTTCTCTGAAAATATTGACGTTACAAAATTGTATTTTCATAAATTTCCTGATTTTTAATTTTTTTTTTTAGTTTCGAGTAAAATTGTAAATTATTTAACACTGTAATGTTATCAAACATGAGACCCGCCACGCCGCTCGCATTCTCATACGGCCGAATACTTTCCGTGTTCTTTAAAGTTATAATCATATTTTGTGGCTTGGTGAGGCGCGGTCGTACGCTCAATCTGCGGAAACGCACTGAGCGTACGTACTGGCCGCAGTTGCAAGCTCCCGGGATAGGTGACCACCCGAGATTTTTAGCAACATATCCTTACCACACATACCTACACAAACACGTGTTACAACCCTACCCACTTAAAAACCTACAAACAGACATACAAAAATAACCCCTACTGTACCACTCCACACCCAATGGCCAATGTTGCCGCGGTTTCTCCTTACAAAAAAAAATATCATATTTTATTTCTTCAAAACTAGAAAAAATATTAAAAATTTAAATTAAAAAAAAAAGAAAGGAATAAACCTTTAAAATACAAATTGGTCTTTTTACCTCCAAATAATGTACACACATTTTTGTGAGATTATCTGTAAAATGTATATTCAATGATATAATTTTATAAATACTTTGTTGTCAACTAGGTGAAAAATTGACAGATGATGAAGTTGAACAATTATTGGCCGGACAAGAAGATTCTCAAGGGAATGTTCTTTATGAAGAATTTATTAACATGGTTATGTCAGGTTAATATATTATATTATTAAATAATTGGAAGAATTCCAACATATTTTACTATTTCACCAGTATTTAAACATTAACATTCATTTACATACTGAACAATTTTATACATTTATTAATATAATTTTATAATTCCAAATCTAACATTGATTTTGTTTGTAAGTTGAATAATTATTTTGTTATTTTTAATCACATTCCATAAAAACAATAATTCGTCCAATTTAATGAAACAATATAATATGTATTATGTATTGGTTAAATTTAAATATTAATATATTTTTATTTATTGTTTTTATTTTTATGAAATTATTATTATTGTGTATGTTTACTAATCAAAATAAATATTAAATTTTAATAATGAAGTTGAAATGACTTTATTATTTATAAATCAAAATAGATTTAAGTATTTTTATAATAAAATATCACAAATATTAATTAAATTTATATTAAACACTGACAATTGTTATAAAGTACATACATTGGGTTTGGGGCTTAAATGCATTTTGAATATTCTTTAATTTTGACTGTATTTTATTCAGTTTGTTTTGAAACATAAAAAAGGTTATAAATTATAACATTTTTTTTCTTTTTTAAAGTTTGAGCCCCTTAGACCCAAATTAACTTGTATCCATTATAATCCTAAAATATCAAATTCCTGAAAGATTTTTTTCCTATAATATTATTACAGTTATCCGTTGTTATTCACGGGAGTTACGTTCCAACAAATTTACGCGGATAACGAAACCAAAAGCAATGTAAAAAGGTACATTGTATTAATTTAAAAAATCATATTTGATTAATTAATATTTTTATCATACATGATTTATTAAGTAATTTATTAATCATCAATGATACATACATTCAGTACATATAAACATAGTTGTATAATTATACGTGCTATACCTAACKATATAACAATTATTTACAATTTTATAAAATAAATTACCTACAGAGTTCTTATATACACAATAAAGTATTATCGCAGACTTAACCACGGAAAACGAGGGATTACTGTATATATTATATTTATGATGACAATATTAAATGTTGATGTGTTGACATGTATGGTCGGATCTGTTCTAGTATCAACAAATTAACTATATATTTAAATAAAAACAATATAAATTTAAAAAAATATATATTGAATAAAAATAATTAGCAAATTATGTATTTTTTGGACGACTAATCACTTGTATTAACCTGAATCATAATTCATAATAGTTATTAATACCCTAATTCATCCAGAACTCAAAACCTGAATGAATAATGTTGGTTCAAAGCCCTGAGCTAAATGTTTACTTGACAGATTTTTTTTAGAATATTTTAGCATTTTTATCTTTAAGCCTTAAATTAAGTAAATAGTGATTGATATTTTACATTATTTATTTTTATTGTTAAGTCTAGATTTAATACAACTGTATAAGTGTATAAGTCATATCATAGTGATTTTATTTACTAGGAATAATACTAGGATTCTCCTTTTACTCAACGTTAACAACAAAATTATAAATTGTTAAAATTTAATAAATCAAGATTACTTAATGCTAGTCTTTTAGTTATATTAGCTAATAGCTGCATATTTCTAGCAACCTTAGTGCAATAAGTCTCTAACCCTAGTTATACATAAAAAGTATTTTTGAACACTTATTTGTACTAGTGGAAGTGGAAAGTAATTAAGATATCCCATTTTAAATACTAAATTATTTAGAACTTGAACTCTTATGTTTTTTAAAGAAATAAAAATAAATACATTTTTATGCTAATTATTTATTTATGTATTTTTATAACTAGGTACTAAAATAATAAAAATACATACTTTTTTTAAAAATAATTTACAAATTATACTCCATTTACGTAAAGAGGAATTCTTGGCTGCTTGTTTCTATGCAAGAAGATGATGGCAGGTKAGGTAGTTACCACACGTAACAATAATGTGTCTATTGATAGGGGAATTGCCTGCTTAGTGCTTAATTGGACAAAACTTGATTGCCTCCAAGAAGTACTTTTAGCGTAAATGGACATACATATTATTTTGCTTATAGTATTTGATGAAAATATCACTTAAAAAAAAAAAAAATAAAATAACAGGCAATCAATCAATTATTTAAGAATACTAGTTGATAATTTATGCAATTTTATAGCTGAATTTGTTTTTTTTATGTAGATAAAAGATGAATATACCATTGAAAAAATTAGTTCTTGTAAAAAAATAAAAATAAACCAAATATTCATGAGAATATAAAATACTTTTGAACTAACACAGTTTATTTCTTTACTTGTTTCTACACTATTAAGTAAATATGTGTATTTCAATTGATAATATACTATAAATAAATAAATATTATATTTTTGTTTGCAATAAAAAGATCAGTCTTAAGAACTGAGAATGTGAATGCATATTATAAATTTAAGTTAAAACATATAATATACTTGAAAAACAAGTAGGTACTTAACAATTAGTAAATTAGTATTTACAATGTAATTTTATATTGACCAAACTTGCTATTACTAAATATAATTATTCACTGGATTGTAGTTGTAGCTGAATAGTATTTATGTAAGTGGATAGTAAACACTATACCAAAACAGATGAAAATGTTCAGAACTTAATCTAAAAAGCCCCTACCACATACAATCATGTACATAAATCAATAGTAATATTGAAACATTATGAAAAATAATATAACAAATTTCTTTAACTGATTGAATAAAAACACTAAATAAATAGTTTGGTTTGAATAAAGTACATAAATATAGTAAAGATATTACATTATGTCTCTTCTTATAAATGTGTAATATTCAAACCTACTTATTTTAAATCTGGACGGTATTTTTATTATGATTTTCTAGTAAAAATATTTTCTCCAAAATGCATGCAATGCTATTTAATTGGCAAGATTTGACATTTCTTGCTTGGCAGTAAAGAGCTAGCGCGGCGGTGAATATTAGTAGTTGTATTCCGCCTTTTATCATTTATAATGTTTTGATCTTTTCAAGTAATCTCTCAATGAATTCCTTTAACAAACAATTCAATAACAATCCATTATAATATTTTAAATATCTATTCTATACATAATTAAATAACACTGGTTTTTAATCAAAATAGCATAAGAAACTGAAAGAAAACGTTTATTTTATAAGATATGCAAAATCAAATTGATTTCAATTTTTTTTATATATTAATAAATATATAATATTTCACATTGAAAGTTCTGGTGCAATAATAAGGTAACTCCGATTTTTTTAAAATGCATGTCTTAATGTATTCTGATAATAGACAATTGTGTCTACATTTTGGTGCAATAACGATATATCTCTGACAGATAGATAAACTAATAACATTTAAAAGAAGATATCCGATTTAAATTTTCTTGATAAGAATCAGATATCTCCACTGAATTATACTTAAATTTATTAATTTAAATTATTTAATGTATTCAAAAGTAAAACAACTTTACTTTTAAATTAAAACGTAAAAATAAGTTTTACAAATAGTAATTTGATTACAGGGCAGTTCAGTGCTTGACTTGGGGGGGGGGCGCAGGGGAACGGAGTACCCTAACTAATTATTCAGAAATTTCAGCGTACCCCTACTTTTATTTTTAAGGGTAACGCATGGTACGCTAAATCATGCCATCATTGCCATCATTCTGAATTTTTAATTTTTATCAAAATGTACGTGTTAAGTGATAACATATATAAATAAATAGTTTTTTTTTTGTTTTGTTTCAATTGTTCTTGAGTTTGTTATATTTGATTTTATAAGTTAAAAATATAATATTTACATAATTTTTTTTTTTTAATTTAATTATTCATAAATATTTCCTATATGATTCAAAGTGGTGTATAAGGGGGTGTGGGGGCATAGCCCCCACGGCTTTGTAACGTTTGACAAGTGGTGGGGACGCTCTTTTTTTAAAAGTTAACAGAGTCTTTCTACTTTAATTTTGTCAAGTCGAGCACTGGGGCAGTTAGTATACCTGGAGATACCTTGTTATTGTGCTAGATCCTTAAATTACATAAATTCAATTAATTAAACAAACAAAATATTTTTAATGAGGCATGAATACATAATACTCATACATGTAAGAACTAATAGTTTTGTTTTAAGTTTTTATCCTTAAATTTTTTTTCAATTGCATAATTGAAATATATGAAACTAAAAAAAATACTTTAAAAGTATCATAAATAATATAGTTTTATATGATGTACACTGTATACTAATTTAATTTTACATACTTTGATATTTTCCTTAGATTTGGCTGATGACAAGAGTTTCTGAAAAATAAATTTGTTCATTTTTGGTAAATAAAAAGATGTATTCATTATTTCACTGAACATCTAAAATAATTATTTATTACTTGAAGATATTGTGTACGCTGATGATCGTCATCCATATCTAATAGATCGTCTATATCAACTTCCACTTCACACTCTATCCCTTCAACTGCTGGATCTCTCTGGAATAAGACATACATTTATAGGTTTTATAAACTTTAATTTATAGTACCTACACTATATGTCCGTAGATTTCAAAGACTACAAATAGCTTATAGAATGAAGGTATAAAAAACTGGTAAGAACAATTTAATAATACAAAAATGGTATTGAAAGTTTTAAAACAATATAGGGTATGTACAAGAAGTCAAGAAGTCAAGAATTAAGTAATAGGAATAAGCGAAGGAAACAAAAAACTATTTAATAATACACAGTAAATTAAAATATTTTGATATAGTTTACAACAAAACCATTAATAATTCTTAATTACAAAATAACTCTGTAATAAAGCAGAAGAGTAGCCTGCATGGAACTGTCGATATTACAGATTAAGAGGACGTTATTGTTTCCGTCTTACAAGTGCGTTACATAGCAAATTTTACGCTCAGCAGATCACGTTTAACTCCGCGAGTTAAAATTAAAAATTTAGAATGAATTGACAGGCGCGGATCCAGAAAAATTTAACAGGGGGTGCTCAAAAAAAAAAAAAATTGTTACACCTTACTATTTATTTAAATATTACCATTTACTATTTGATTTATTAGTGCTAACTTTTTTTCCATAATAATTGTTATCGGTGCTTTCCGCCGTCGACGCGTGATGTTACATACTACGAGTATACTTCGAAAACAATTAACAATAATCGTTATTATTGTTGTATGTGACGGTGATAACGAAAAGCACCGATATTATTATTTTTATTTTGAAAAATAACAAATAATTTAATTTATAACATAAATTTATTTTGTTGGTGGCTAAATGACAGGGGGTGCCCGACCAACCATAGCCCCCCCTGAATCCGCGCCTGTGAATTGACCTCTCTTAAAAATTAAAAGTAACATTATTATCGAAAGCTTCTAATAGGAATTGTATTATATTTTAATTTTAAAGCGAGTTATGAGTATTTTAAAATTGTAAATTGTTTGTATATCTTAAAATACTCATAACTCGCTTTAAAATAAAAATATAATAAAATCCTATGAGATTTCTCATAATAATGTTTCCTTTAATTTTTATAAGAGGTAAATTCATTCTAAATTTTAAACTAACGGAGCTAAACGTGATCTGCTGCGCTTAAAGTTTGTTTATGTTACGCACTTGTAAGACGGAGACAACATATGCGGTAATAACGTCTTCTTAAAAAAAAAACTTTTGAACCAAGTCCATGAACATCTACGGTTAGGAAAAGTATAATATAATATGTTATGGTAAAGAATGTAATAATAAAAAAATGCAAAAAAGTATTCGGGCTCGTCCGGGATTTGAACCCGGGACCTCTCGCACCCTAAGCGAAAATCATACCCCTAGACCAACGAGCCGCTTCTCTTACGACGAACATAATCACCTTATATAAATGTGAATCGTATTAATACAGCCTAGACTTTCATAAATCGTAATTAACCATGATAAAACATTCATGGTTTATAAATTATAATATTCAATTCTATATTTCTACGTCAAGATAGAATTTGGATAATTAAGTTGCAATACAATTCGCCAACACTAAAATAAGCATGATTCATGTTATCTATCATAGATAGTTTATAATTAATATTTTGATAAAATTTACAGATTCAATAACTAATGGACCATTGCTAATTTATTGGCAATGTCAATATTCTATAGTTTATATGTTTCAATCGTTTTATATTCTGAGCGGAGCAATAAATGTATATTGATTTTACAAATTTACAATGATGGTTAATATTTTTTAATTATTTTTGAGCGTATACAATATAATTAGGCGAATTTAGGCTCCCCACATCAGGCACAGATGCAGACGTAAATCCAGACCCATCTTAAGTAACAATTAATTTACAACACTTTTCTAATATACTAATGTACAAGGTGTGTTACAGCCGTAACATGTAGAACTGACTTTGGGAATAACTTTTATTCAAATTAATATTTTTTTTTCGTTCATTAAGTGACCCTGGCACTACATGTATATTAATTTCTTTTTATGTTCTTTTTTAGTTTTGAAAATTAAAAAAAAATAAATTTATTAAAAATGTTTTTATTTAAATTCAAAATCTGGTTATAAGAACAATTTTAGAGCTAAAAATATTTACCCAAGTCACGTAGTTTATTTTTAAGAATTTTAGAAAATTCAATATTTTTTGGTTAAGTTAATTGGAAGGTAATAACTTTTTCATTAATATGGTTTTTGAAAATTTGCTGACATGAGTTTATTTCTTAAATTATTTACTTATCAAATAATATTAACAATTTTTGTTACCTAACCTTGATTCATAAAAATCGAATTTAGGGCTAGTAGTTTTTGAGTTATAAGTATTTAAAGTTTAGATTGGCAGAGTGGAGTGGTACGGGGTTACCCCGCAAAATGTTTGTCCACTACTCCGCTTGTCAAAAACTTTAAATACATATAACTCAAAAACTACTAGCCCTAAATTCAATTTTTATGAATCAAAATACTTAGAAAAATATTCTGCTTTGGAATATGAAATTAAAACTCTATGTAGTCATTCAAAAGAGTAAAAACTTAAAAAATGATAAGGATAAAAAATATTCAAAAATATAATTTTTTAATAAAAACGTTGGTTTTTTAACAACTTGAAACCATGTAAAAAAATATTTTGAAAAAATTRAWWMYTTTTCAAGATAATTAGTGTACCCACTTAAAAGAATCACCCTGTATACACTATACATATTATACAATAAACTTTTCAGAATATTTCCAATAATCAGAGACGCAAATCTAGGGTTGCAGCGGCGCAACTGCCCCCCTTCATTTGGTAGGTAGGTGGTCAATTGATTGATACTCGATGGTCAATTTTCAGACATTACAATAAGCATACATCAATACACTTATATTATATTATATTTTTATTTGATACATTTTAATATTATTATTTATATGTAATTGAGCACAGTGAAATTTTTTTTTTAATAGGTGGGTATTGAATACTTTTGTTTTGCCCCTCCCCGCCATAATTTGAATTAGTTTGCGCCTCTGCCAATAATATTAAATTATTTTTAGCACGAACCAAGTTACATTTGCTAGTTTTGCAGCAATCGGATTTAACTTATATATTATAAGTATTCAATTATTTAATACATACTATATTTGTATATATTATATAGGTAGATCGTAGATACATCKTAATATATAAGTATAATACTATAATATAATATGCATTTATGCAAGGTTTTTTGTAAAGAATTAGTTCAACATGTCATACTACTAATAGTTATATTATAAATAAATTTTAAGATATTTACAGAAATAGAGATGACACGCTATCTCCGCTCAGAATGATGCGTGACTTATTCAATGAACGTACGCTCGAAACCCACTATACAAGCAGAGAGACTTCCCCGATTATTTAAAATAGCATTTCATATTGTCACAAGTACTTGTACTATTTGTACGTTATTTTATGCTTGTACACTCATCCTCATTTTAAGCTTTTAAGTATGCCATACCCTCCCTATATGATTGTGTCGATGACATTTAAAAAAAAAGTTGATAAAAGTATAATCGTACATATTCGTAGAAATGTATTAATTACGTTTCAGAGAAAGTATTTATAACTATTACAACTATCCTAGTTCCTTCTCAAATTGAATATCTCGGATTAGACTATATAGAGAATTTATGTAGAACACAAATTGACCAAGTGCCATGGTTTATATTATTTATGTATTTTTTTGTATTAATATAATAAATGTCTTATAAAAATATATTTCCTAAAGTTTATAATTTAATACATGATTGTATAAACCATAAATCTGAGCTACGATCTAGCAATATTCTTAAGCTACCTATATATAATATTTTCTTTACCAACACAGTTTGATATATACAACTTTACAAGATGTTAAAAACCTATTCATCATTTTGAAGAAAATAAATCAACACACCTAATGGTTATAAAATGGGTTGTATCTGAAGCTGAATAATTTTCTGAGAATTTCAATATTTAAAATTAAAAATCGAAATGTCTAACTAATAGTTTTTAATCAATTCATACAAGTTTTTATGAGCGGAGTTAATGCCATGGCCAGGATTCTTTTTAGGATGACTATTTTTCTCGGGTTAGGTTACCCGTGTTGTCAAAATTCAAACTTTGAATGCTTGTAAAAAAAAAATTGTGCTAATATATTTCTTTTATTTTTCACMTGCTATTGTAAAAATATATTAGGAGCCTTTTATAAAATTTTAAATTCTAAGATATAAAAGGAAAATTTTTAATGAATTTCTAGCATAAAATAATTTATRAATTTTCRTGATTTTTACGTATGTTGTCTACAAATCAAACTTTGAACGCTTGTAAAAAAAAAAATTGTGCAAATATATTTCTTTTATTTTTCAACTGCTTTTGTAAAAATATGATAGGAGCCATGTATTGAAAAACTTGTAAGGAATCTTGTATTAAATTTTTAAATCTTAGATTTAAAAAGAAAATTTTTTATGAATTTCTAGCTTAAAATAATTTGTGAATTTTTGTGATTTTTACGTTTTTTGTCAAAATTCAGACTTTGAATGCTTATAAAAAAGAATTGTGACTGAATTTATTTCATTTTTCAACTGCTATTGTAACAATATTATGTTAAGAGCCTTGTATTAAATTTTTAAGCTTTTCTGCCTAATAAATAAATTTTTATCAATATTAATTTTAAAAAAACTAATAATGATCAATATATTCATCGCTCCGCTCAGAATCTAAAATAGATGCGGTCATTTAAATAGTTAAAACTATGATAGGAAAGTCTCGGAAAAAAAGTTTGTTTTAAAAATACAATAGATAGTAATTAATAATTATGTAATGATATAATAGCAAATAAATACAAAAGATATATTTAAAAAAATATGTCATTGAATCGTTATCTATAATATTATTAAAAAATAATATATATTATAAATATCATCATATTATATCACTAACTTGGTAGACTTTTCATGAATATTTTTATAAAATGAAAAAAAAAATATAATTTTATATATATTTATAAAAAATAACCAATGTATATCCACTTATTATTATCACTTTAATTAATATTTTCAGCTATCGCTTTTAAAAAATCTTGTAGACGAAGTTTTAATTAAAATTTCCAAGTTTTATAATCTGTTTTTCTTGGAGACTTTTATCTGTTCCTTTCTAAAACAATATGTTGGTAGGTAACGGAAAAAAAATGAAAAATATATTTTATTCAGTACGTTTTGCTGTAATGAATTCAAATAATTCAAAAATAAAATTTCTCCAAAACCTGATAAATTTTGAAAGAATTGCCGATTAAAAATCCATGTAAAATGAATGATTTTACAATAACATTATTTTAAACATTTAATGATTAGAGCTGAAGTAAAATAGACAAATAGGAGAAAAAGTTTGTTTATCATACTAAAAAGGCATGTAGATTATTATTTTTAATTTTCGAAAGTCAGTAAATTTATGACATTGAAAAAAATTATAAACACTAAATCAATAAGTCATGCTGTAATCAATGGCGCCAGATATATAAAAATATGACAATACTTTATATTGTTATTGAACGAATACAAAGAAAAGTAAAATAAATGTATACAACAACAGAGTAGAATAATATAATAGACCCAAGTTATGAAATGTAATCCAAAGAAAAGGAAAATGACTCATTGAATTAATTAATGTTATAACTTATAAGTATAACGTAATATTACGATGTATAGAGGCGTATGTATCGTATAAGCTTTCAAATTCAATGTTCCTGTTGAAATTTGGTACCTACTTCATAGATCTATTAAAATATATAATATAAATATATTATAAGGTCCTATTTACTGAACAACATTAAACTTGAAATATTTCTATAACTAATAACTAGTATACTTAATTTAACTAGTTAGAATAAATTAAGCAAAGAAAATTGTAAGCCTATTACCTACATGTTTAGCGACAAAAGAAGTATCTCGGGCTATGATACATTAACTCATACCTTGTCCTCTTAATTTTTAATATACTCTCTTAATATAAAAAAGTAATTTTATTAATTTGTTGGAAAATATAAAATGATGTATTTTGACGTTTCATAAACGATAATAATTTAATTTGTCAAATCATTTTCAAATTAATTTTAATAGTTGTTATAATAAGTACCTAATTAATAAAAAAATGTGAGCATACTATGGCAATTTTCATTATACTTGAAATGTTTAAATTCACAAGAGTACACAACRCCGAACTTCTACCCAAATTCCATGCATAAATTAGAAGTTTATTGAAAATATGTTTTTAATTTAAAATATTAATAACTCTCAAATTTATTGCTTGTTGTTAATGTTAAACAAAAATCTAATACATTTAAAAACAAATTTAGCTACCAGACAAAAACATTTTCATTGTAGAATGAAATATATTCGTAAACAAGCTAATCTATATTTATCTTAAATACTAGAATAATATCTATCAACTGCAAATTTGCTGTAAAAATAGTTTGTTGATAGAATAATAAATATTAAATAATATACCTAAACAATTTAATTTGTTTACAATAATATGGGTTATTACTTATTATTTATTATGATATACGAACTTTATGGATAACTGGTTTTAGTCTAACCGAGTTCTGCTTAGTCAATTACATTTTGGAATTTTCAGAGGTCAGTCAACCATAATGAGTCATACATTAAAAGTAATCACTAGATATTTATTATATTTATTACGTTCATATCTACTTCAGTACTTCATATACGTTTAGCCCGTTTAGGTTCATAAAATAAGTAGCACTTTTGCCGATTTTTGTTTAAATAGTAATTCAAAAAGTATTATAAAGGTCATACCTTGACTCACTAATTATTGTTTTACATAGAAATTTAGTTATAATATAAACACGGATTAAAAAAGTTAAGTATGAACACGTAGAAGAGAAAGCTATTTTTTTGTTATGCTTCTATGATTCAGACGAACAAAAGATTACGAAAAGTAATTGCTTCTGAACAATACACAATTTTCAAAATAACATTTTTTTATGCATAAAAAGTTGTATTTTAATTTTTATGGGTAATAATATTAATTGTATTGGTAGAATAAAAATTCTGGAAACTAAAATAATTAATAAAATATTTAACTCTTCATGTAAATAGGTAGATCGTAGACACTATTAGATACCTGATACTTAGGTAGTGGCGTTGGAAGGAATTAAAATTGGTGCTTCAAATAGTTCAATTTATTCACCTACTGCTTCACACGATTGAGAATCGGGCTTAACTATAATTGCATACAAACAATTAGGAAGAATACTACGAGAGTATCTGAGTAATACACTTATTTTACTCACTCGATATACACACACTCAATTTTTTAAGCGGTTCATTTAAATTTTCTGTAGAACGTGATCGGCTCCACTGTACCTAGGTTTAACTAATATTATAAATGCCATTTAAAATATGACAAACATTTAAAGAATTCGAGAAAATGAAAAGTGTTACACTAGACATGGTTTATTCTATAAATTAAATATAATCTTCCGATTATCGTTTTAAATAAAATTTTAAAATTTTAATAAATTATATAACATTCATGTAGTTACGTCTGAAAGACATCAGTAACATTTAGAGTGTTTGAAAGTTGAAAAGAGTACGAATAATTATTAAATACGTAGTAATACTATTAAATCTTTATAATTTGTTATTTAAAAAAAAATTTTAACTTATAAATTTATGTGCACATAGATAAGTACTGTTTATAAAGTTTATTTAAACAAAAAATAAATACAAATCTGGTACTTGGGTGGCTAAATATATCTGTTATAATAGCAGATATGGAATAGGTATAGCCGGTATAGGTTAGGTAGCGATATAAGATACGAATATACAATTGCAGATTAAATATATTTATAGTTACCTAACCTTTAAAATAGTTACCTACCCAATACATACCACAGAGATATAATAATATTTCTAACTTTTCTTAATTATGATTAATAGGCAGTAAATATTTGTGAAGGATAATTATAATCCTATAATCCGATTATAGATACCTAGGTAGGTTACCTAGAATTAAAATCAATTTACTATTAATATTTCATGGTATATACCAACCTATTATAAAATAATAATTTTATTCAATGAACTAACGAAACCATTTGAATTATAATTTCTAACTCTCAATTAATAATGCAATATCAGTGAAAATATAATTGATTATTACTTACCTTAGGTAAATCATATAATTTTTGCATTTCTTCTAACAACCACATTTCAACAGCTAAACGTTTTCTTATTAAGCTCATTTGATGGGCACCATACTTGGCTGTTAGAAATTTTTCTCTTTTCTCTTTAACTTCTACTTTTTCAGTAAAATTGACATGTAAGCCAGACTTAGCTGGACTTCTATTATCCGATACAGCACTAGAAGGTTTTGCAGTGCTATTGGTATATGTCGAGGCTAAACTGCATTCCATATTGACTAAGAAAATAGGTATATTTTAAATTTAAAACACAGATTTGAAGTATAAGTGACTAGTAAATTAAGAAAAATATTGGTAATTGGAAAAAAAGATTTGGCATAAAACAATAAAAAAATATTCAATACTATTAAATGGAACAAAACAAAACAAAAACGAATAATAAAATATAAAATATGAAGAAATTAAAAATATAACAATAAATATATTATTTTCGTGAATTTACAAGAAATTCAATTACACATTACCCACGTTATCAGGCTAGACTAACATTATGCTAAATAGTAAATAATAATAAATAATATGTAATATATGTATTATGTGGTGGTAGTAAAGGATATTGTACTCGGTTGGCTGAATAAGTTTGACAGGATGCCAAATACCAGATTATATACCAGTGTAGCCAATGAGAACAATTTACATACCTATAATTACTGTTCTGTGCTATTACAGAGCAAGGTTTATAGATATTCTATAAACCTTGATAATAGAGTACTTATAATATCACGGGACAATTAATAAACAAAACAATTAATCTGTGGCCACGATTTAAGATATACAGGTTACTCAACGAAACTAATTTTTTGGTGTGCTTAAAATTAACGATATTGTCATAGCAAGAATAACAGTTAGCGCTTTTGCATTTTAGTGATTTATCCTGGTACTACAAAGAACATCATTATCAAATTATCAACAAATCGCTACTGTCACTGCAATACCACGTAAATAACATTTCACMAATTGTTCAGGAGAGACATAAAACTAATTAATTTGTGTGCAAGAAATAATTTTACAGTTTTTTTTTCTTATATTGATATTAGGAGCTTAATATAGTTTAAAAACAATGAAAATTATATTTTGTAATATCATTAAATTTAATTAATAGTACTTACGTGGTTTTTCAGTAATATAATGAAGATACGAGGTATTGAAGGRTTGAGATACGTGTTGTTTAAATACAAATGTTGTAGATACGTGTAATTTATATTTATTTAATTTATTATTATAATACCTTATTTAATAACATTAATT